GTTCCTGGAAGTTAGCCATGGAGACATGGATGTTGACAGCTTTTTGGAACATTTGTTGTGGGTGTTTGTTGAGGACACTGATCTATTCCTTTAGGACTGGAAGTATCAGAGTTCTTACCTAGTAGTATAAGACTCTGGATTTGGTCCTCAGCTAATGGGGGAGGGGGGCTCGGAGAGAAAGAGAGAGAGCATGTGGTGATACAGAAGCAGGCAGATCTCTTGAATTCAAGGTCAGCCTGGTCTACCTAGTGAGTTCTAGAGCTCCATAGACCCTCTCTTGGGGGGTGAGGGTGTGTGTGTGTGGGGTGGTTATGGTAGTTGGTTACAATTAGCACATAGCTTTTTCGATGAAAAATATTTAATATTGAAAAATCTCAATATTAAAAAGTGTTTTCTATAAAGCTGGTCTGTAATAATTTTGTTTTGTTTTTGGAGACAGGGTTTCTCTGTGTAGCTCTGGCAGTGCTGGAACTCACTCTAGACCAGGCTGGCCTCAAACTCAGAGATCCACCTGTCTGTGCCTCCTGAATGCTAGGTTTAAAGGCATGTGCCACCACTGCCCAGCATGTAATGTTTTTAAAATGGGGTAAGTTAAAAGGTTGAATGTAAATGAAAATGCAACAAGAATCCTGATAGCATTCCTCTGGGAAATTCAGATTCTCTGCTAAGATCATGATATCTTTCCAGACTTCAGATCTATCACCAGAATGCTTCCTACTGGATCTAATTATGTTAGGGTGCCTGAATTAATCAGCTGTGACATTGATGAAGTGTTTACCTCAGTTTGGAGTGAATAACTAAATGAATATACTGAGCCTGTGTCAATAGTGTTTAAAGCCTCAGGTTGGAAGGTGAAGTTCCTTTATCACTTTGGAAGGTAGATTTACTCTCCGAAACTTCGTGTGTGCAATCACTGCCTCAGAACAGTTTGATTTGCTTCCTTTACTTGGGAAAACCGAGAAACGTGCCAACATTCAGGTATGGATTTGGCTTTTACTTGGCAGAAGACAGGCAAGTGAAGACACACCTATGATGAAACTTGCAAATTCTTTAAACCTGTAAGGTCTTAGGAAATCTAGGCACAACTAGCCAGTATTGTGACAAAGCAAATTGCTTGCTCACTCGAAAAGCTCCCGTTTGTTGAAAGGAGATCTATGATAGCAAAACGCAGTCAAGTTCTATGCAAAAAGTGAAGAGCAGGAAGTTGGAAACAGTGGTGTGTGGATTGCAAGTGACTGCGCTGGTTGGAGAACATGGTGTCCTTGCCTTTGAACAGCTAACTTAGAAACTGAAGCACTGTAGTGAAGGACGTTCTGTTATTCTCTAATGTAAGTTGTGTTTCAGAGCCATTCCTTTGGGAATGGAATCTGTGCTAGTGTTGTTACAGTAGTCATCTAATACCCTGTAAATTCAGAAATAATGTGTAAACAGGAAATTCATTCAAAGTACTCTTGTTTTAAATTATAAAATAGACATCCTACCTAGGGTCTGGGGATCTAAACAACATTAGAATCATATATGATTACTTGTGATCTCTGCATATATACTTACTTAGCCTTGTAGAATACTCTAAATTTCAATGACCTTTAAAAAAAAATTCGTTCCAAGCATACATGTTGAAAAAAAAGAAAAGTGGAAAATGATCATTTCCAGGCAAGTCAACTTTTATCTCTGTGGGGAAAAGAGAAGAAGAAACAGTAAAAATGGCGACTTAGAAAATAAATACTTTGTGTAAGGGTGTGACACAACTTATGGTTTGGGCTTCTATCCTCTTGGGAGTGTAATGAGTGTGCATGTGTGCGCACGTGTGTGTGATAGGGTCTCACTATTAACGCTGTGCTGCTGACCAGTAACTCACTATGTAGACCAAGCTGACCTTACACTCATAAAGATTGCTAACCTCTGCATCCTGAGTGCTGGGATCAAAGGCATGCACCGCCATGCCTGGCCCACCCCTGTGAGTCAGTCTTACTAGCCCAGGCTGGCCTAGGCCTGGCAGTGATCCTCTTCCTTGGCTCCCTGAGTGCTAGGGTTACACGTGTGTATTGCCATGTGCAGCTCATGGTTGCTTTTCAGGAATAAGTACTATGGTGCTCCAAGGATAACATTCAAGGTTTTGTTTTGTACGTGTTTGTATGTGTTCATTGTCTGGCTGTGTAGAGACCGGATGTTGACGTCTAGTGTCTTCTTTATACTCGTTTCCTCCAACTTAGTGTTTTGAGATGGTCCCTCACTGAACCTAGAGCTTGTTTATTCAGTTAGGCTGGCTGCAAGTGAGCCCCAGAGTCCTGCCTGAACATCCCTAGTTGGTGATCAAACTGGTTCTGTTCTTGTAGAGCAAGCACTTTCAGCCCCTTTCCAGTGCCTGAGGCTTTTAATTACTATGGTTTCAGGATTTATCATTTTTACATTCCCTAGTTTATTGGTCTTACCATGTTATCTGTTTTGTTCCCAGCTTCAGTGTTATAGCAGTTTATAGTTATGCACCTCTTTTTTTTTTTTTTTTTTTTTTTTTTTTAAGATTTATTTATTTATTATGCTTACAACATTCTGCTTCCATGTGTGCCCACAGTCCAGAAGAGGGAGCCAGATCTCATTACAGATGGTTGTGAGCCACCATCTGGTTGCTGGGAATTAAACTCAGAACCTTTAACCTCTGAGCCTTCTCTCCAGCCCAAAATTCCCCTCTATTTGTTCCTTCAACATTTTGTAATGTTGTAGGGGTTAAGCAGCCAGCTCCCAGAGGTAGTAGCCTGGGTGACTATCTCATGATTCACCATGGAAATCGGGACTGTGAACCCACCGGCACTTAGAAATAATTCCTCCTGAATGAATTATTTCTGCTTCAGTTTTACACTTTAGTAAGCAGAAGCTGTCCCATGTAAAGCCCTTCAGTGACTTTTTACCACATCACATTTCTGAGCTCGTTTTTGCTCTCCCCTGGCCAACTCCTATCTGTGGCTCTTGTCTTAGCTGTCACTGCCTTCAGCTCTTGGGTTATGTGTCCCTCGGTGGTGGTGGTGGGGCTTTGCCAGGCTCTTGATGGCTTTTCCTCTTCAGTTTGTGAGGCCCACGCTCTTTCCCACTTCTCCCGCACTACATTTTCTTCTTTATCCATAGAACCCTGACTCTGGTTACTGGGTGCCCAGCTTCCCTTGTCGCCTGGGGAGCAATCAAAGTTGTAACACTGATGCACAAGTTTACATGGAGATTTCTCAGGGTCTTTTATCGTGCTAAAGGCCCTGGCCTGCTCTCATCGCCTCCCGCTTCTTCGTAGACACAACATGTCTACAGAACCATCAGAAGACAGGAAAGGAGCTCTCCAAGTCATTACTGTCAGTAATTACTTTGATGTAAATGGATGGTGCTCTCTAACGAAAAGACTGTATGAATGGATCAAAAACCAAGATTTGACCATAATATATATTGATTGTAGCGGTTGTTTGATTTTTAATGAAGACTGGAGGTGAAAAGGCAGAAGAAGGTATTCCACAAAAAGGGGAACTGAGCAAAAGTCAGAATGAAGGATCAGCTTGTCAAGAGGATCATCCCGACAAAAGCAACACAGGAACTCAGACTTCACTCCTTTGACCAAATGGACCTAAGCAGAGTACACAGAGCACTGTCCATTACATCCTACGCCAGACCACCAGGCAAGTCTAGCAAAGAGACTGACACCATAGAGTGTAGAGTTGTAACATCACAACATTGGTAAAAGTACAAGTCACTAGCAGGAAGAACTTTAGAAATTCATAAACACAGGACAATTAGGCCATATATGCCAGAACTACTATTGGGCCTGTGAATAACTTTAAAAAGAACCTAAAAATGAAGACAACAGAAACTGGAAAAGAACACACCAGTGCATGCCGTTCCAAGAACGATGATGTCACAGTGAGCGCTTGCAATCAAAGGATCACAAACAAACCAAAACAAACAAACCTGCCAGGTGCTGTGCAGAACCAGTGAAGCCAGCATCAACAGAAGGAAGGGGAGAGGGTAGGAACCAGGGCAGAAACAGACAGGAAGTGGGGAACAAGCAAAATAAAGCCAGTGTTTGAAAACATTGAAGAGTTGATCACTCTTGGTCTAAACTGAGCACAAAAACCGAGGACTCCAGGATACGAGATCACAAATCAGAGACAAGACAGCGAAACCACAGAAATACAGAGAACTGTAAAATGTTATTCTAAATGATTGTATGCCCCAAATAGAACCTAGGAGGAATCCTTGACATGCCCCCCTTACCAACACTGAATGATTAAGAAACAGGAAAACTTCACAGGTGACTAAGGAGGAGCCTACACAGTGAATTCCAAGCCATCCACTGGCTGCATAGTGAGACCTTGGATAAAAAAATAAAAAACAAAAACAACAACAAAACACCACCAGTACAATAGCCTATCTGAAAGATAAAAGAAAAAGCTCATTGTAATAACTTCCCACTAGCACCAAGCCTTTAGGAGTAAATTTGGCCAGGGAGGTAAGGCTACCTGAAATCCTAAGACATAGTCAAAGGAGATACACAGCAAAAACAGAATGTTTTGTCCATGCGTTAGAAGCACTAATGTTGTTAAAATGGTCACATGACACAAAGATATCTGTCATTTTAATGTATCTGTTGAAATTGAAATACCAGGTCAGGTGGTGACAGTGCACACCCTTAATTCCAGTACACAGGAGGCAAAGGCAGGCAGATCTCTGAGTTCGAGGCCAGCCTGGTCCATAAAGCAAGTTCTAGTTGCAGCTTTCAAAACATGGCTTGTAAAAATACCACCTCATTTTTCAAATACAGAAGCAGAGATGACATGCTGGGTTCTGGGCAACCACAGGGAAGAAGGAGTGTGCTTCCCCGGTGGCAGCTGCTAACCTAACCCAACTGTGGTGAGGATGAGGCAGTGCTACTCCTTTATCCAATTGCACCTGAGCCTTGTTAGTTTTTATACTGTTTCCAACTGGCATCGTTTATCATGGAATTTCCACTCTAAACCAATAACCCTGTGCTCTCTTGGGCAGCACGCATACTAAAGGTGGAATGATGCAGAGATTAGCATGGCCCTTGCCCAAGGATGACATGCAAATTCATATTTTAAAGCATAGTCAAGAAAGCAAACGCCGATACAATAAATGAATAATAATGGGAGAAAACCGCTATTTTCAGGATGCTTCTTTATTGATGGCTGCATCTCTTTACAGTGAGAGGAATCAGGTCACTAGGGGGCTTGCTGCTCAGAAGTAGGTCAGTTCATCATCCTTGGTTTTGTTAGTCTGGTAAGCAGTAAGTTCCAAATCCTCATTTTGTCCAGGAAGACCTTTAAAGATTTTCAAGTGCACATATTGGCCGTTGCCTACATCCACCTGAAAGACATTAAAATGGAAGGAAGGGAGGGAGAGAGGGAGGAAGAGATTATTCATATAGATCAACATTGTATGACAGATCCACTGCCTTGTGTGGTATGATGCTCTGAATCAGCACTTCTGGCCCAAGGCAGCATCCGTGAACTGAGCTCCCATCAACCCTTGTTTGGAGAAAGCAGCTAACATTATGGCAGGAGGTACATTTCCTAGTTTCATTTTTAACACTTTTATTTGTGTGAATAATCTGCCTGCTTGTATTTAAGTGCACCATGTGCATGTACTTCCTGGAGAGGCCAGAAGAGGGTGCTATCTCCCCTCAAACTGGAGTTAAAGATTTTGTGAGCTTTCATGTGTGTGCTGGAATCCAAACCCAGGTCCTCTGCAAGAGCAGCTGGTGCCCTTGCCATCTGTCTATCTCCATCTGGATTTAATTTATTGCACTTTTCATTAGAATCTGGGCACAGAAATATTCCAGAGTTACATTTGATTTGCATGATGCCTGGAACAGAAACTGAGGACAGCCTATATTTTTGGTGATTTTGTTTTCTGACTTCTAAATTGGGAGAGAAATTGCCATATAGTTCAATAAGGGAGAGAGAGAGAGAGAAAAAGCAAAAAAAGCAAAAACAAAAACAAAAATTAAAAAACCCCTCAGAATTGCTTTAGAAAATGTGGGCTGTATGGCCTCTGTACCTATGCTGTACTGGAACCTACTTTGTGGATGCCAACCAGGCAGGCATTTGAGAATGGAGTGGGTGGCCTGCCCACCTCATTGTAAGTAAAATTAAGACGCTTAGGAGCCATTGGGGTAGTGATCTGGATGGTAGTTTGGGCATGAACCCAAGACCTAGAACACAGATAGAAGAATTGCAACTTTTTTCTTTATTGGGACAATAAAACTTTTGTGTTATATGTAGATAATGTGCTCTGATATCCCTTCCTACCCTAATCTTAAAATGCCACTTGTCAAATTTTACCATTACATATGACACTATGAAGAACATCATACAAAATGTGTGTGTGTGAGAGAGAGCGAGAGACAGAGAGATCACACCGACTTCTTACTGTAGGTCTGAAAAAAGGTGTGACAGTATCTGTTTTGGAGATGCCAGCAACAGATTAAAGAGACTAATTTCTGGAGCTGGGGATGCAGCTTGGTTAGTGCTGTTTGTCTAGACTGCATGAAACCTTGGGTTTGGTAAACCAGCACCTCATAAACCAGGTGGTGTGTGTCTACTATAATTCCAACACCACGAGGTGAAGGCAAGAAGAGCAGAGATTCAAGGTCATTTTCCATTACATATGGAGTCTGCATTCTGACAGCCTGAGATACCCGAGGCCCTGTGTCAAAACAACAACCACCAAACCAAAGCAAACAATCCACAACAATAAAAACCAAGGAGACATAGTCAGTTCTTCCCATGAAGCTCTCAGTGAATAAATGGCAGAGCCCAAATTTAAACCTAGATCAGTTAGATCCCAACATCCACGTCATTTTCCTTCTCTTGTTGGCTGGTATTGTTTTGAGAAAGGATCTCTCTATGTAGCCCAGGCTAGCCTCAAACTCCGGGTTGCGGGGGGGGGGGGTCCTGCCTTATCTGCTGAGTACTGGACTATAGGTGTACCCCATGCTCAACATTTCTATTAGTCTCACTCCACGGTGAAACATTTTTTTAAAAAGCATTTGTTTCCTACTTGGAAAAGGACATCAACCTTTGCAAACATTGTTGTCATCACTGGAGCCAGTTGCTCTGGGTGGAAATCTTGCCTCTGTGCTTACAGTAGCATGGACTTCTAGAGTCATTTACCTTTCCAGGGATCAAGTTTTTGATTGGTAACATAGTAGAAATAGTCTATTTTTGTTTCATGGATTTTTTCCCACGAGGATTAGGTGAAGAGGGGCACAGCACATTCCAAGAGCACCGTGCATTATTTTCAGGGTAGGGGATTAGACTCAGGGGAGGAGATGCTGGGATGGCATAGACTATGAACAAGTGTGAACTAGTAGAAGAAAGGTCAAACCTGGGACAGCCTCACATCACAGCCAGAAAATCTAGAGAGTGGTGGAGGGTAACACAGTAGCGAGCCTGCAGGAAGGAAGGAGGGAATCAAAGCCCGTGAGAAGAGCGGAGGGGGAGGAGGGGGGGAGAGGGGAGGGTGAGCACACCCCAATCGGGAAGAAAATTTCAAGTCATTTTCTGATGAGCTCTTTAAGGAAATATGCAAGGGAACCAACACAAAACATTTATTTGGATAATCAAAGTTATTAAAATAATCTCAGGTTTGGTGGAAATTTTTTTCACAAAACCATTTTTTTTTTTCCTGAAACCTTTCTCGGCTGTGGAGAAAGATCATGGAGGGAGGCAATGCCTTCTGAGGGTACATCTTGGGTTCGCTCACACATCTCTTCAGGCATGGACACACCAGGAACTCAAGTGTGACTGAACTGAACTGGTCTGTTCCTTGTACACAACCCCGTAGGTCATGCTAAGCTAAGCTGGGTAACTGCTTTTTTTTTTTTTTTTTTTTTTTTTTTTTTTTTTTGCTGAATATATTAAAAAATTATAGCTTAAGTAGTTGATTTTTTTAAAGGAAAAAATAAATGACAATGTGCATTGTTCAAATGCAAAGCAGAGTAGGAAGAAGCACTTGAATCGCTGCTATCTTTGAAATCAAGATTGTCGTTGTTTAAAGCACAAAGGTGAATGCACCTCCTGTTTGCCATTCACAGTGGAGTTTTTTTTTTTTTTTAAATTGGTCTCCTTGATATCACAAGAAGGTCAAAGTTTGTTTTTGGTTTTTCTGTTAGAACTTGATCAGGACACCATCTAATGTTTTGATACGACTGGCTATGAAATTTGTTTTAAATTTTTAAAGTATTATGTGTATGCATGTGTGTCTGTGTGCACACAGGAATAGATGCCCTTGGGGACAGAGTCATCAGATCTCCACAGCTGGAGCTGCAGTGGCTGTGAGACACCTGATGTTGGTGCTGGGAACTGAGCCTGGGGCTTTTGCAGGTGTTCACTCTACAGTTGCATCATTTCTCCAGCCCCTAAAATTCATTTTTAAAGTACTATAAATACGACTTTACACTGTAGCTGGAGTGCCACAAGTTGGACCTCCTTGAGTTATAAAAAGAATTATTTAAATGATATTAATGACTACCTATTTAAAGGATGAAAGGGGCTTGAATTATCCTTTCAGATAACGATTGAAGTCCTTCTTTAAGTGCATTTAATTTGGACACACATAGCATTAGGAAGTTTGGAGATGGATACCTCCCACATCCCAAGATGTTATCCTCCGATCTACCTGAGAGAAGAAATAGCCATGGCTGAAAACTAATGTTCTGGACTGTTACACCACATTTTTCTATACAGGTTCTAGAAATTAAGAACCACATAAGCAAGCTTTCAACATCTACAAGGAAAAAGAAGGTACATATCCTTTGGGAATCTTCCAATTGCAAGTGTCATGCTGGTGTCTTAATTAAAGACAACTGGTAGGAATGAAGGCACAGTCAGGGCAATAGGCAGCGTTGCATCAGGGCTTAGCTGAGGTTGGAATCTAACCTTAATGAAATAATTGACTCCGGCCACGACTTGAGTTTTATACTCGACAGCTTCAAATTTTTCATATTTCTCATTGGTTTTCTCTTCAAGCTGTGCTCTGACCTTATGAAGAGAAAGAAAGAAATGTTGTTAGAGTTGGGTTTACTTTGATTACATGGAGCTACAAATCTGGAAACCTCAGGCTACTGGGAGTCCTCAGAGATGCCAATGAAGCCTGGCATGGTGGCTCAAGGCTATAACCCCAGAACTTGGAAGACTGAGGCAGGAGTATCTGGTTCAAGAGCAGTTTGGGTAATATAGAAAGTTCCAGGCTTGTTGGGGCTACAGATTGAGACGCTGCCTAAAAAAATCAAAATAAAACGATAAACTCAACTAAAAAAGATGCTTCCTTTTCCATAGAAAACACTTTAAGAACGTTATACAGGCTAAAAAGTCAAGTAATATTGCATGAAGTTGTATTAATATCAAATCAGTGTGGTATACAAAATGGTCATGGTTTAGGGCTTCCAAATAGCTCAGCAGGTAAAGTTATTTGGCACCAAGAAAGCATGACAACCTGGATTCGACCCCTGGGACTCACATGGTGGAAGGAGAGAATGGATTTCTACAAATTGTCCTGTGATGACCTACATACACATATTGCGGTAAATAAGGATCAGGATAAACAAATAGGCCGAATAGATGTTTATTCAGGGAGAAATAACTTACAACCTAGACAGATGAACACCAGGAAATTCAACCCGATCCTCTCCTGTCCGAGTCACACCAGAAAGAGAGAGCCTTTCCTGGCCCCCTCCAACCTCCTTCCACAGGTCACTTCTGCCCATGGCTCCACCCCCCAACGGGCGTGGTCAGTGCTACAGAAGGACTATCTCACTACATACACACACACATGCACCAAAAACAAAGACAAACTACATTTGATTAGTAATTAAAAACAGGACAGCTGTAGTCACTACTTACTGTTTTAAACTGATTGCACAACTAATGGTGAAAATAATGCATTGATTTAGAACAGTTGTAGTTTCCCCTAATGTTTCCACCTTACACACCCATACCCATTCTAGAATCGTCCAAACCAGGACATTACAATGGAATATTATGAAGGAGCTTATGAATGTTTTCAGCTGTCTCTCAAATGTCCTCTCTCCCCCAGGATCCTGCACTGCTTTGGACACCATGACTCCTTAGTCTCTTAGTGGGATTAACCTCGGTCTTTGTCATTTCAACCCTGACTGGACTAAATTTGTAGTGTCGCTTGGTTTGGGTTGGTCTGCCTTTTCTTATGTTTGCATTCTACATTCTTTACAGCACAAATTGTTGTGTCCTTAGTGCACTGTATTGGGACCCACATTTTTCCTTACTGCTGATGGAGTTACTGCCACTTGGCTAGGCTGCCTGGCAGATCTCACTACTGTAAATGACTTTTCCATCCTTCTGTGATGAATCTTAGGGGAGACCACACAGCAGTTTCTCATCATGCGGCAGACCATTTCTCATCTGGTCTTCAGCCCTTAACTTCTGCATGATTCTTGACTACAAGCCTTACTCTGGCTTTTGCCAAATAACTATTTATTTATTTTTCTTCCATTCCTTATCTATTTGTGAGTTAGAATTCTCTCAGGAAGACCTGTTCCCTCTCCACTCTCTATTTAGTTTTTGTTTTTGTTACTATGACTTACATAAACTTCTATTCCACAAGTTGTAAATTCATCATGACTTATGTATTTTTTCTTTTTTCTTTCTTTCTTCTTCTTCTTCTTTTTTTTTTTTTTTTTTTTGCTTAAGTTGTCCTTAATTTATTTGTTGGGAGCTCCTTCAAGTTGGTGTCCTTCCAACATGGCTTTAAAATCATCCTACCAGTCTCTTCTTTGTAATTAACCATTTCTCTGAGGGTGTCCTAGAGAATGGCTAAGGTCAGGGCAATGTGTATACTCATTATTTTTAGATTCCATTGCTTCTAAACAGACTCATTGGAAAAGCTGCACAGTATATAGACACACTAATACAAATATGTGTGTATCTATCAACTCATCTCTGTATATATGTATATGTGTACATATGGGTGCATATATACATTCAAATGTGTAGTTATGCATGCAGTGTACACATACAGTTGTATGTGACAGATAAATTTGTCCCTTGGTTTTGGGATCTCCTCTAGCTACCAAGATGCTCAGGTCTCTTGTGTTAAAATATCGTGGAATTTACACATACAACTTCTCAGATGCTTTAACTCATCTCTGGACTGCTTAGACAAACTAATACAATGAAACACCTAGTAAGTAGTTACTCTATATTGCTTAGGAAATAATGACAACTGTCCTGGAACTCACTCTGTAGACCAGGCTGGCCTCAAACTCAGAGATCCACCTGCCTCTGCTTCCAGAGTGCTGGCACTAAATGTGTATGTATGCCACACACCCCTCACCACCCCTTGGCAGTAACTTCTTTCTTAGTCCCTGAGGATGACGCCTAGTTTGATTCACAATCTATTTACTTATTTAATCAGTTTTAACATACACATAAAAACAGCTTAGATTTCCTCATTAACTCCCTTCAAGAAATACATTTACAATTCAGAACACAGGATTTTCGTGTGTTTTTTATGAGTGAGTGCTTTGGGCACAACATCTTCCTGTTTCTGCCTAATCACATCTGCAGAGTTGTGTTGCATTGTGAGATAGCACATTCCCAGTTTCCAGGGATTGGATGCAGATTCTGTTAGAGATCTGTCACCGCATCGAGGGCAGGGGATGGAAGCTTAAATGCCAGTGTTGCTGAAAGGAGTTAGCCTCACATTCAGAATGTGAACATTTTCTGAGTGTTCTGTACCCATCCTTTCTTCAGATGCTGAGCTAGACCTATTGGGCTAGCATCTGCTATGATTACTTGACCTCAATTTTTGCCAATAGCCAAACTCCAGGTTCCCACCAGGGCTGAGAAGGGGAATAGCTCATGTCTCAAGGTGGAGGATGGTGAGGGGAGGGGCCCAGGGGTGGTCTAGCTGTTGGTCATATAGATCCATCAGCCCACCTGGTCTCTTGACTCAGTCCTTGCCCTTAAGTTTTCTGGTGTTGCCAAATGCCAGGCATTAGTAATCTAATACAGCTCTGAAGTGTGAATCTCCTGCTGGGGCTTAGACTTGCCCTTCATGGCTTAGCTACTCTCTAGACCACTCAGTTTCCATCTTCTCATTTCTATTTGTGTCCGTCAGGCAGTGTCTACTGACTTCCTGTTACCTTTCTGATAGCTGTGTTTCAGGTGATCCTCTCCTACTCGTAGGAGGGAAACTAACTCTGTCTTCAATGTGTCTTTTCCATTGAGAAGCTGGCCTCCTGCTCTCTGCTGAAGTGCACAGGCACATCTACCCCAAGTCAGGCCTCCAGGGAACCTCGAGTTCTCTCAGGCCCCGAATCCTTCCCCTCAGTAGGGAGGAGTTTTCAGTCTTTATCCGCTGGTGCCTCAGTTGACTGCTAGAACTATTTTCAAAGGTGTCTGCCGACTGACTTCTCAGATTATTTTTGAATTTCCAGCACGCAGCACCCATTTTCTCCCAAAGCCTTCAGGATAGGTGGAACAATTATTGCTGTGGAAAATGAAGCTTCAAGAGGAGGAGAGAAGACACAGTGAGGGAAAGATGATCACCAAGAGGCAGGGTATGAGAGAGGAGCTGTGCAGAGAGAGGCTGAGGGAGGAGAAACTTACATCTCAGCTTCTCTGCATCCTGATGCTTTTGAGTGGCCAAAGGAAGGGCACTGGCACCGGGTATCCACTGAGTTAGAAATGCCTAACCCCTACATTAATCCCCAAGATGACTTATTTAACATCACTTTACAAGTAAGGAACTTGGGATTAGGGTTAAAATCATTAATTGTTGCCATAGCAATTTGAAAGCCCTTGTGCAGATACTCCCCTATTAATGGATCCAAATTTCATCTTCTTCATTGTCCTTGTGTAAATCACAGGCCCAGAATTTTCCACAAGAGAACTAATTTCAAATGCGCTGGTTTGTTTCCTTACAAGCACTGGTGCCTGCCCGAGGTCTGGTTCACCGTGGAAGCTGCAGCCCCCATCCCCTTTGTAGAAAGGCAGGTTTGCATCCTTTAACGTGGGATGCAATGGACCCGGGTGCTGATGGGGAGTTGGGAGGTAGGGGAAGATTTGGGTGGGGATATTAGTGATAATGTAAGATTCAGAAAGTAGTTTGTCATTGAGAGAACTTCCGGGGTGGGGGTGGGGTACCAGGAGGCCAGGGCTGGCTGGGAATGCATTTGTGGAGCCTGGTGTGACAGACAGGCCCTAAGCTGTAGCCAGTTGCTGCTCTCCTGTCACAGCCTGCAGTGTCTGGTGATGGCTGGAAACTATGTGTTTGTCACTTTGTCCTCCATCAGAGGAAGGGGCACCCAGTAAATACATTTCCAGAGTTGTCACAGTCTAGCTGAGTTGAGCTGTTCATTTTCTAGGACCTGAAGATCTGAGTCATGGGGGCAGCCAATCTTAATGCATTTCCCAATCTGCCATCATTCTTCAGAGGGGGAATGGCTAGAGGATGGTGGCTCCAAGGTAGACAGACACTATTTGAGAAAATCGAAGTTATGGAGCAGTAGGGAAACACGGTAAAGCAAGTGGGACATATCTTACGGACGTTTGCCTTCTGATATGTTTTGAAGGAAGTATGAAGAAAAGCATGCCAGACACAAGAAAATGAAGGCACTAGGCTGTGAGTGGAGGGAAGGACAGTGAGGGACTGGAGGGGTTGGGCCGGAAGCAATAGATAATCCGGGGTATTCCCTCGTCAGATGCCAGCTATTTTCCAAGCAGAATAAGAACTGAGAACCCTGCTGGGAGCCCGTGGGAGGACTGGGGGACACTCGATGACAGTGCGAGAAGGTACAGGTTTCTAGGAAAACAACAACAAATAGAACTGAAAGGACACGCGGCTGTCCCCAGGGTCCTGCACGACACGGCCATTCATTCATCGCACTGGAGTGGTCAGCTTCCTGTGGTCCTGTGAAGTGGGGCCGTGGGAGTGACCTCTAATTGAAGACTGGCACGTCACAGCTCACAGGATCATGGGAATCAGAGTGGAGGAGTACATGAAACTATCCATCATGGATGAATGACCAAGAGGATCCAGGCATGTTCTGATAAAGACGGGAGGTAGGTGCCCTGAGAAGCCTGGTGTAGCTGAATGGCAGGTTCTCCAGGGAAGGGACACCAGAAGTGACTGACTAGCAAGCTCGGGTTGGAGAGAAGAACCTAACCCTGTAACAAGGTCAATGGGAGCCGTGATCCTAGAGCCTAGGGTGTGTCCAGCTGTGCCGATGAGGTGTCTGTGTGGTGTCCCAGCCAACGAAATTCATGCTTAGTGTGTTTGCCAGGAATGGTGTTCAACAACCAGGTTTCTGACGTGAAGAAGAGTATGTGTAGTGTGCACACACATTTGCATGCCAATCATAGCCTCTGCTTCTAAAAATAATCATTAAAATAACATTTCTTTCCCTCAGATAAACATACCTGGGATTCCCTTCCAGTGGCTACTTCCATAGACAATAAAAGATCACCAGCTGCAATCTGGACTTGCTATTGGGACAGTCTGCTTACTTGGTTTTTCGTGGGTGGGGAGTGTATGAAACAATCTTTTTGTTTTTCAAGACAAGACCTTTCTATATAGCCCTGACTATCTTGGAATTCACTCTGTAGACCAGGCTAGTCTTAAACTCATAGAAATGTGCCTGATTCTGCCTCCTTAGTGTTGGGACTAAAGATGTGAGTCATCACCACCTGGCAATAATCAATATTTTTTAAAAAATCGCTTGTATATTTGGGTGCACGCATGAGTGCGTGTGTGCACATTAGATGACAACTTTTGGGGGTTAATGCACACCATCAAATGGATTGGGGTGCTACACCATCTTGCTACCTGATAATCAATGTTTTCTGAATGACAAGCTTGAGGAATACTTGTCTCCCCTGAAAATTCTCCCATTCTCCTAATCCCAAAGCCTGTGCCAGCCTTTCTGTGGGTTTGGTCAATTCCCAGGACATGCAGGTACCACTTCTCTGTGGTACTTTCCCTTTTCTGTGTGATGACTTCTCCTCTTCCCTCCTCTCCTTCCTCCCTGCTAGGACCTTCCTTCCATCGTCCCTCCATTCCTGAGTTCTCTGCAAAGGGCAGAGACAGCCAAGAGTTGTCTCTCCTAAGAACATTTAACAGTGGATTTTAAAAAATAAAACTATGTGTGTGTGTAAGGAATAAAAGTACAAAGTAAACCCTCAAATCATTCTAGGGATGCAATAACCCCCTTTGGCCTGACACTGTGTGGTGACCCCACTGACCATAATCTAGGAGGAGTTGATTCAATTTCCTGACTTAACAAGGGCTTCAGTAGTATCTGCCTGTGGGGTTCTTTGGAGGGGGATGATTGATGGGACTGAGAAAATGCTTCCTAAAGTACTGTTTACTGCTGCTTCTCTGCCTCCCAACACGTAACTGGGAATTATCCCCTAAGGCAGTCTCCTGCAAGAGAGGACAGATGAGTGACATCTGGGAGCTAGCCACCACACTGTACTTGTTCACATTACAGTAAAGGGTTTGACAGCCATGCTTAATGGCCTTTTTGGTCTTAAACCTATGATTATGAAAGAGCACTGAATTAAGTTTTATTTTATAATGTGCTCTAGATATCTTGACTTCCTCTATACTGTTACATTTTCAGGAGTAGTGGGCAAGTCTTATAGCCCTTTATGTAGCTTCTACAGTTTGTAGCCCAATGCTAGACACCTAGGAGAGACTCAGGAAGCGCCCCTACCATGAAATGGTTCATGCCTATGTAGTGTGCATTGCAGTTTAAACCCAAGGCCACAGATTGCATGGAGAAAGCAAGTTTGCTGCCTTCTCTCCCCTCACACTTGCAAAAGCTCTCCACTGTGTTGAGGCTGTGCGGTGGAAAGGACAGATACATTTCTTAACTGGGTGACTCGAAAGCATTTTGAGTCTTAGTTTCATCATCTAAAGATGGGGTATAATGCCTTGCCTGCCCCAGGGCTTTGAAGATCAAATGGGAGGTGGAATGGAAGTCAAGGCTTTTACAACTCCTTCCTGGGATGAGGTGGCCTTGTTAAAATCTATTTCTCATTCTGCTTCTCTGAAGCTGTAAGAACGTATTTCCAAATTAAGTTTATCACTGAAGATGTGGTCCACAGATGGTGTCATTAGCAAGGTAAGCCCTTCCGGGAGCTTCCTAACTTTACAAAATTATATGATCAAAATACATTGTATGTGTATATGAAATTGCCAAAGAACTAGTAAAAATATATTTAAAACGACCCTAGCCAGGCAGGACAACACACTCCTGTAGTCCCAGGTACTTGGGAAACTAGAAGCAAGAGGATTACTTGAACCTATCAGGTTGGGAGGAGCACTCTGAGAAACAGCAAGACCCCCCCCCCCTCCACATTTCAAAAAAGAAACAATTGTTCAAGCTAACCAGGTGGTCAACTATTTAAAAATCATTAAAAATCTGTTGTATCATCTATATTTCAAATAACTGTATTTCCCTATCTAGCACCCACAGCTCTGGTTCCTGGAACATCTCAGGGAGATTTTTTTTTTTTTTTTAGGTTGAGGGATTTTTTTTTCCCCAGGCAACATGAACAGCAATGATGCCTCATCTGTGATATTTTTTTGAAACAATTTTTATGTACATTATTTTAGTTAACCCTTTTAGCTCTTTCTTCTTACAAATGAAATGGAGGGCCATTCTTTAGAACCCTACCTTTAAAGTCCCATCTCTCATAAGCCTCCTGGGATGACAGATATCTGGTCCTACGGGAAAGTGAAGTTGTAGGGAGGAAGCACAAGCACAACTCCTGAGAGCCTGGCAGAATGTGGACTCGCAGGCCCGTCCAGCCATCTCCAGTCAGATCTGCATTTTATCTGGAGCAACAAGTGACTCATGTGCACGTTCAAGTTTCAGAACACCAACTTGATGCACAAAGTATAAAGCTATAAAGATTCAACGTTACCGTCTTCAAAAATAAAATGCTCCAAGGTGTTTATTGAAATATAGCTAAGAGTGAGAACTATTTAGCCTTGAATATTTAGCCATTGAATTTTAGGCCCATGACCTCCTCTAGAATGTTCAGTGCCCTAAACATGAAGGCTCTCACCTCTTCTGCTCATATAAAAGCAGATGATGTATGGTGATGCAAGCATATTCCCAGCACGTAGGAAGTTGATGCAGGAGAAATGTTGTGAGTTTGAAACCAGCCTGGGTTACTTAAGTGTTAGGCCAGCCAGGACATAGCAAGACCGTGTCTCAAATAAACAGGTGAACAAACAACAAACAAAACTGATCTTGTCTGCCAGGATGATGGTTCAAGGAGGAAAACAAAATGATGTAAGGAAATAAGGCGGCAGATTGTAAACCCACACCCATAATTTCCATGCATTTCTCTTTTATAAAACATACAACACAACATGTTTTTATTATACAGATTTATATAGATGATAGTTAAGCAAGATGCATGAACTTGCTAGAAACATCTAGTTCTATTTTGACTGTGAAGGTGTGGTATGCATAGCATCCTGGGAATCTGCTCTGGAGTCCTTAACAGCCTTGGGTACCCTCACACCTTGGCTTCAGTTAGTGAGATTGGCAAACTCCATGAGCAAGCGTGTGAGAGCTCCTGGGCTCACACTTGTAAGTAAGAAGTTTAGAGACTGTTTTACAAATTCACCTTCAACGAATGGGGAAACTGAGACTGCAGTAACCAGTGTGACTTGGCCAATTTTACCTTTGGGATGTTGAAGTTTCCCTGAGAATCTTAATGTTCCACCTTTAGCTGCATAAAAGTCTGAATAAAACCCACACATTTCTGGTTTCTGTGATTTCCCACACTCTGAACACAGGGTCAAATTATGAACCAAATGATGAGAGTTTGATTTGGGATCAAACTTCTTGAAATGCCCCGACTCACCTGATCGGCAACCTCCTGGACTTCTGGCGTGGCAGGTCTGGCCTCCGTCAAGCCTCCTGGGATCATTCTGGTGAGTTGTTTCTTTGCTGGGCAGGATGCTGAAAGGGAATGATCAGGGAGCACGGAGACTCAGGGTTTTAAAGGAGCCCATAAACTCCTCCTATGTAATGTATTAGCTGGGAGACTGGGAAATGAGTGTGGCCTCAGGCAAGTCTTATCACCTCCCTTAGAGGAAAAGCTGAGTGGAGTTGGGGAGGGGGACAGCGATGAGGTGGGGGGGAGTGAGCAAGTGGGTGTGCCCAGAATTCAGGCGTGGTTAGTGTAGGTTCCTCCCTGTTCTCTGTGCCAACTTTTTCATACTGCTGTGTCATATGAGAAGCCACACGTGCAACCAGAGTTGCCAAATATGTAAAACCTCAAGAGTTCTTTTAAGAGAATCCTTAATTATGCCAAGTCTGATTGCTTAGAATTCACCCAACTTTATAAAGATAACAAAACTGTCTATCTGGAGGACTTTTAGTTTCTGAAATGCTTATGCTTATCCCCAAACACACATAATAAAATAGCAAACATCTTTATTTTTTCTGCTGTTGATTCTCTCTCTCTCTCTCTCTCGCGCGTGTGTGTGGTGTGTGTGTGTGTGGGTAGTGTGTGTGTGTGGTGTGTGTGTGGTGTGTGTGGTGTGTGTGTGTGTGTAGTGTGTGTGTGGTGTGTGTGTGGTGTGTGTGGTGTGTGTGTAGTGTGTGTGTGTGTGGTGTGTGTGTGGTGTGTGTGGTGTGTGTGTGTGTGGTGTGTGTGTGTGGTGTGTGTGTGGTGTATAGTGTGTGTGTGGTGTGTGTGTAGTGTGGTGTGTAGTGTGTGTGTGTGGTGTGTGTGTGGTGTGTGTGTGTGGTGTGTGTGTGTGTGTAGTGTGTGTGTGTAGTGTGTGTGTGGTGTGTGTGTGTGTAGTGTGTGTGGTGTGTGTGGTGTGTGTGTGTGTGGTGTGTGTGTGTGGTGTGTGTGTGTGTGGTGTGTGTGGTGTGTGTGTGTGTAGTGTGTGTGTGGTGTGTGTGTGGTGTGTGTGGTGTGTGTGTAGTGTGTGTGTGTGTGGTGTGTGTGTGGTGTGTGTGTGTGGTGTGTGTGTGTGGTGTGTGTGTGGTGTATAGTGTGTGTGTGGTGTGTGTGTAGTGTGGTGTGTAGTGTATGTGTGTGTGGTGTGTGTGTGGTGTGTGTGTGTGTGGTGTGTGTGTGGTGTGGGTGTGTGTGCAGTGTGTGTGTGTAGTGTGTGTGTGTGGTGTGTGTGTGTGTAGTGTGTGTGGTGTGTGTGGTGTGTGTGTGTGTGGTGTGTGTGTGTGGTGTGTGTGTGTGTGTGTGGTGTGTGTTTGAAGGGATTTCATTTATCCCAGGCTGGTCTTGAAATCACTATGAACCTTGAACTTCCAGTCTTCTTGCCTCTACCTGCAGAGTGCTGGAATCACAGGCATGTACCATGCCCAGTTTATGTGGTGCTGGATATTAAATCCAGAGCTTTTTGGGTACTAGTTATGTCGTCTTCCAGTTGATCTATGTTCCCAGCCCAAGATAGCCCGATTTCTGTCATTTAGCACTGTTTTGTTATTTGCTTCATGATTCTTTTTGTAGTTTCTTTTATTTCTTTTCCTCCTTCCTTCCTCCCTTTCCTCCCTCCCTCCTTCCTTCCTTCCTTTCTTCCTTTTAGTTCAAACTGGCCTAGAATTTATTAAGTATCCCAAGCAGGACTTCAGTTCCAGCCCCTCCTGCATGCTGAGATTCATTTCGCCTATGGAGGAAGCCCCACCCCAACCGTGTCATCCACACAGTTACACCATGAGTTTCTTAACCCTGTCGCCCATTTTAATAATTTGTGGTCATGTTTTACATTTTAATTTTTTATTAAATTACATATAACCACATATTCTGTTATACTATTGTTTCTTTGTGTGTGTATGTGTGTGTGTGTGTGTGTGTGTGTGTGTGTTGGGAGGTCAGAGGTGTCAGATCCCCTGGAGATGGAGTTACAGATGGTTGTGAGCTGCCTGACATGGCTGCTGGGAACGGAACTCTGGTCCCCTGCATGTTATAAAGTGCTGAGCATCTCTCCAGACCCTATGCTCTTTTTTTTTGCTCACCATGTTTTTGAGTCTTTCCATATTGATACACAGACATGTTAACCACGTTCCTTCAGTGACCCTTTCTTCTGTTTATTCTCTCTAACTGTAATATGCTCCCCCACAGTTTCTACACGCTGCCCCTGCTGAGAGGGCTTTGCTTGTTTTAGATATGTGTATTTCATTTTTACCTTAATTTCTATAAATAAATGCTTAAAATACAGAAGAAACACAATAAAATAACAGACATCTCTTTCTCTGTCACTCAGACCTGAACATGTCTGCCACTTTTCTCTCTGGTGGGACAGCCCAGTGGGGCAGGGACAGGTGGGCAGCAAGCCTTCTGTCCCCTTGCTGTGTCCTATTCCTTGATATGCCTGCACCTCCCTCTTGATGCCCAGTAAATTCTAAAGAGAGGTCCTCCCTTTCAAGTGGTATGGAGTATTAACCGATAAGTAATCAGGCATTCAAGGTCAGTCTAAATACATGAAACTCTGTCTAAAACAAACAAAAGCAAGCAAACAAACAATGATTTTAACTGACAAATCACTTTTCTTTAGATTTACAGAACCCAGAGTGTCTTGGAACCTTTATATAGTGTCAGAACCCTATGCTTTTCCTTTAATTAATCGTGTGCATCATATGATATAGCCTGGGGATGTCTGTGGGGTTTGACTTACAGAAAAGAAATCCAGCTGTCTAAAAAGTAAAGGGAAGTTGGCTTGCTTGAGAGGCCATTGTCTATCTCCAGATGCTTTGGAGAAGGAAAATAAAGCTATGTTCCCTGAAGGTTACTGTAGACGGAGTTTAGCCCCAAATAAACACACGGAGACTTAAATTAATTATAAACTGGCTGATGGCTCAAGCTTCTTATTGGCTAGTTCTCTCTTAATTATTAACCCATTTCTATTAATCTAAGTATTTCCAAGTGGTTTGGCTTATGGGAGAATGCTCTAGCATGTTACTCCTTGGGCTGCTACGTGGCATCTCCCTGGCCACTCACCCTCTGTGTCCTCTCCCCAGAACTGTCCTGTCTGCTATCCCCACATATGCTTCCTGTCTGGCTACTGGGCAATCAGTGTTTTAGTCATCAAACAATTAAGAGAAACATATACAGAAGGACATCCCCGATCAGGTTGCATGCAGCCTTCTTAGCCTGTTCTTGCTTTTCTTCCTATGCAACCCCTTTGTACTCTGTGAATTGCCGGAGATGAAGCTTTGTGGATGAGAGTCCCCAGGGTCTCCCTAAGCACTGCTTCTTGGGTAAACCTGGGCTCCCTCCTACTAGCTCTCGTCTCCTAAACATTGACCTTCAAGCAGTGAGAAGCCAGGACTTAAGCGACAATTCGAACTTCCTAAATTTCCTGTTTCAGTTTGGTAAAAATGCCTACAATTGTAAAAATGTGAGAGTTTATGCTTGTGTTAAGTTATTTTTCTCATTGCTGTGACAAAATGCGTGGGAAAGCAACTTAAGGAAGGACTGGCCTATTTTGGCTGTGATTCCAGCATAAATCCATCATGCAGGGGACAGCATGGCAGTAGGCATGGCAACCCATCCCCCCGTCTAAAGTCAGGAAGCAGAGAAGGTCGATGCTGGTGCTCAGCATCTCCTGTTTATTTAGTCCAGGACCAGGGATGGCATGATATCACCCATGTTTAGGATGGGTCTTCCCACCTCCATTGACCCAGAGGTTTATGTCCAAGGTCTTTTTAATGAAGCCCCACAAAGTTGACAGGATCAACAGTCATGATATTCGACTAAATAGAGCTCTGATGATTGATTGATTTTCAATGGAGATGGAGTATTGCTATTATGTAGTCCAGGCTTTCTGTAAACTCCCTATGCATCCCATCTTGACCTTGAACTCACAATCCTTTTGAATCTACCTCTCAAATTCTGGGATTATAGCATGTGCCACTATGCCCAGTTCTAACATCTGCTGTTTTAAAATGCCCTGTTCTTGTAAATTTCTTCACTGATTTTCAGACTCAGAAAATGACACATTAAAGGTCGAGGATGTGGCTCAGTGGTAGAACTCTGCCTGGCTTGTTCAATGCACGAGGTTCAATCCTTAGTGCCACCAAGAAACTTTATTCTTTCCCAAGGCAGATCATAAAACACTACCCCTCTGTTGAAGACAGCCATAAAACCTAGAAACCTTGTTCGAACCCTCCCCTGCCTTGCCTTGTAGGAGGTCATAAAATCTTCATTCTAGGAGGGCTCTGCCCAGTATCATAGAGATGGGCAGCCCGCAGGCAGGGATCTCATAGAGATGGGTGGCCAGCAGGCAGGGATCTCATAAAGATGGGCAGCCTGCAGACAGGGATCTCATAGAGATGGACAGCTGTAGACAGGGATCTGTGGTTCTCCTCCCTAGTCTTTCACCAGTGGGCCATGAGCCTTCTTGTTCAATCGCATCCGCAGTTAGTTATCCATTTTTTGGCCAATTAATAACGTTAAAAATGGACAGCTGTTCCTGGGTTTTGGGTCTTTATTTCCAAATTTTCCTGTATCATGTAAAAGTTTGATTACATAAACCTGCCGTGATTTTTTTTCTAGGCTGTCTTTCTTTCTTTCTTTTTTTAATTATGTGTATGGGTGTTCTGCTTGCATGTATGTCTCTATACTATGGGTTCCTGGTGGCAGGAAAGCCAGAAGGGGATATCAGATCTCCCCAGGATTGGAGTTACAGACAGTTGTGAGCTGCAATGTGGGTGCTGGGATATGAATGCAGTTCCTTTGAAGAGCAGCTGGTGCTCTAACCACTGAGCCATCTCTCCAGACCTCTATGCTGTCTTTTGTCATAGGAGTGTGTTCCTTAGAATGAGGAGGGGGTGGGTATCACCCCCTTACATGCCCCTAACAAGTCATTAGAATGATTCCTTTTGCACTAAGTCAAAAGTTTGAAATGTTTCTTTGACAAAAGTTTCTTTTAAAAAGCAAACTTTTTTTTTTTTTTTAAATTTCGTAGGCTGGTGTGGAACTCACTCTGTAGACCAGGCTATCCTTGAACTCATGGATATCCCCCTGCCTCTCTGCCTCTGCCTCTCTCGTGCTGAGACTAAAGGCC